AGCTAAGTGCATCCCCCTTTGGGAGCTGTCCTTATCAAAAGAAAACATCTTGCATGAATGGTTTCTCTGTGGCTGCACCACAGAGATGAACAGAGAAATGGGGCCTCATTTGGGAAGCTCAGAAACACTTAATTCTGCCTTATTATTAAGCCTCGCCGCTACACTTGGAAGTCTAAACCCCCTACAGAAAAGATTAAATTCAAACCCCTGTCTTCACATCTTTCTTCAATGGTGACTAAAAATGTACTTACAGTATTCAAAATGAGGTCTACTAGTGTTAACTGCTAATCTTGAGTACTTGTAGCATTCAAATTGCTTTTATTTCTTTTATGAAAATACAGAACTTTGTTTTACTGCCTGCAGCCTGAGGTTCATTGTTTTGTCCATGCTGCGCTCCTGATCTGGATCCTGACTGAATTCCAGTGAATGTTTTTCATGCAGTGTATTATTGACATGAATAAGCCATCAACTATAAAAATATTTAAAGAGCTGACTGCTCAAACCCTTTAAACAAACAAGAAGGAACATTTCCAGTTTAAGCAAACAAAAAAGGCTGATTTGTCTCTTCCTCCTCAGTTTGCATATAAAGAGATAGATCTATCTTATATTTAATGAGCTGGTGTCATTTTGCTTCGATCTCCTCTACACATTCAAGTGTAAGTAGTTTCAGTCTATGTTCTCTGCCTTATCTTTTGTGCTCTTTTCCATACATTTTTCTGCATTTTTTTAGTCCTTTTCCTTTTACTATGTTCACTTAACTGTAGAATTTGCTATTAGGTTTCTGCCCTCTGCTCACTTACACTTTTCACCGTCTTAATTGTTTCTCCTCTGCCATATCAAATTAATTTATGTTTTTAGAATTGTATACTTTAGCATAAATGTTTTTGTATTTAGGAGAGTTCTGGAAGGCAAGAGAGCTGGCAGATAATATTTTAGTTCTGAAACTTCAGAGTTCTTTCTGTTGTACAATACGAGGCCTTCTAACTTAGTATGAGGTCTCTGTGCAGACCAGCTCAAATGGAAGGAACTGTTAGCACTGCTCAGTCACATGTTCTCAGTCCTGGGTAATAAAATAGGTTCTAAAATATCCTGAATGAACATCTTGTATATAGATTTATAACATTTTCCAATTTAATGTACTAATATGAAGATGTACTTTTACCATATATAAATAGCATATATACTATAAATATGTGTGTTGGGGTGTTGTAGTGTTCCCAGTGGGTAGGCAGGTCTAACAGGGAATCAAATGGTTTCCATTTTCTGAGGCAGGTGTGGTACTGTACATTATCACCTAAAGTTCAGAACCACTGGCAAGGCAAGAACTCCTTTTTTTAGCCCCTTTCAACCTTGGGTTGGTAGTAGTTTGGTCAAATTGTAATTAATGCAATGTCACAATAAATTTATAGAAATCGCGTATTTATTATTTGGCGTGTGGAAATTGCCAGTAGAAGTTGACAAGACCCCCTGAACAGATCAAAGGAACCGATACAGAGTTCTTAATAACAGAACTTGTAGTGCAGGAGCTTTGGTTATATTTAACACACCTCGTTTCAAGAAAGACACAAAGTCCACCAAAGGGTAAAAAAACATAGTGCTCTTTATTTTACAGCACTGGGGAGAATCAACAGCATAAACACATGCTTTTTATGGAAGATTTTTATGCTACCTGTGTCATAAGAACCCAAGCCCATGATAAATTCAAATGACCTATTCTACCAGAATACGCATCCATCCATTTTGTAAACTCTTGTTCCAATTCGGGGTCACGGGTGAGCTGAAGCCTATCACAGCAAGCAACAGGCACAAGGCAGGGTACACCCTGGACAGGACACGAGTCTGTCGCAGGGCACACACAGACGCAAACAAAAACACACTCACACCAGATCTAATTTTCCAAGAATCCAATATATTCCACCCCCAGGGCCAGAAATGAACCCAGCACTGCAAGGCATCAATGCTAAACACTTCACCACTGTGTCACAAATGACAATAATATCTTTTACTATTACCATTGTGAGCTAGGCCTGAAGTACTTGAAGAATTGTCCCCACATTATGTCCAGATGGGTCCTGGTGCTCCTCCACTCACTATTCTGAGCTCCTGAGGTGGAAGAGTCCTGAAATCACTGAGGACACATATGGTTCCAAGACCAGTTGCTTTTGACTCCTCTTTAGGGCAGACAGTAACATGAGGTTAGAGGGTCAATGACTCCAGCCCTACCAAATGTCAGGCAGCAGCTACAGATGCAGCCATTCAAAGTGCGCGGTACAGACACGTACAGGAGGTAATTGGCTATGGCATCGCACATTTTGAAGCAAGATGACGCGGGGTACCGCGGTACGTGATTGGTTGACCGACAGGGGCACTCGTGGTCCGTTGGTCTGTCGTAGAAAGA